TTTATTGAGCAAACTGATTTTTTACATAGAGGTTAGTAACATTTATATATACTTTGGAATTTTTTCTATTACTAATATGATCACTAACTTATTCTACAAATTGCACTAATCAATGACTTCATAAATTATGCATTAATGAATTAACTACAAATTATTACGGATTGACTACAAATTAACTATCATTGATGACTTCATAATTTATGTGCCGGGCGTCAGATTGGAATTGATAGATCACAGGCACTGACCCGATCTTAGTTGTGAGGAATCGTAGTAGCAGGAAATTGTAGTATAGTTGCAGGGGGGATCATAGTAGCAGGAATTGTAGTATAGTTGTAGGAGAAATCGTAGTGGCGAAAAATCATAGTATAGTTACAGAGATCATAGTATAATTCCAGGGAATCATGGTACCAATTTGTGTGTTTGTTACATCATCTGCTCTTCAAAGGGCATCACCAGCTTTTCTAGTTCTTTTGGTCTTCCCATCGGTATTGGGCCAGGTTTTTTGAGGTACTGACAATGGAATCTAACCACAGCTTCATAGGCATAGCTCAAATTTTCTGTTGGTTACCATGATCGTTTGCTTGTGCCATAACCTTCCCAGTCAACTAGATAGTGCAGTCTATTTCTAATTTTTCTTGAATCAAGTATCTCTCAAACTTTATACTCATTTTCTCCTTCAATAATCACAGGTAGAGAAGGTTCCTTTACTCTTCCTGGAATGTTGTTCTCTCTATATGGCTCTAGTAATGAAACATGAAAGGTGTTATGGATCTTCAGTTTGAAAGGCAGCTTTAATCGGTATGCCACTGCATTGATCTGTTCAGAGATGACATAAGGGCCCAATTTGTGATAGTCCAGTTTTTTTGATAGTCGTTTTGTGTGTATGTTTTGGTGTATTAACCATACTTTGTCACCAACTTTAAATATAGGAAGGTTCTTCTGGTAACGATCAGCATTCTGCTTGTAATGCTCTTGTGCCATTTTCAGCTCATTGTGATTGTTTCTTTGATGCATCGTAGTTGTGCAGCTTTGTCTTCTACAGAGAGGACTGTGGAATGGAATGGTGTTTGTAGGTCGAAATATGGATGAAAGCTGTAGTTGGCGAAGAAAGGTGTGGCTTTGGTGGACATATGGATTGAGTTATTGTATGCAAACACAGCTAAGAGCAGTAGGTTAACTCAGTTATCTTGATGGTAATTTATTGTGCACCTTAGATACTGTTCTAACACTTGATTGACTCTTTCGTCTAACTGTCCGATTGGGGATAGTAAGCTGATGAAAGATTTATTTTGGTTCCTAGTAGACTGAACAAGCTTCTCCAGAACTTGGAAGTGAATTAAGGTTCTCTGTCAGATGTGATATCTTTTGGGATGCCATGAAGTCTAATTACTTTCCTGAATATTATTTGTGTAGTTTGTTCAGCATCAATGTTTTTTTTATATGCTATAAGATAAGCCATTTTTGTCAACCGGTCTATCACAACCAGTATAGAGTCACAATCTGAAGACAGGAGTAGGTTGATGATAAAATCCATTGATATGGATTGCCACTGCTGTGTAGGTATAGGTAGGGATATTAGTAACCCAAAGGGGTGATGTCTGGATGTTTTAGATCTTGCGCAAGTATCACAGAATTTGATATAGCTTTGTACAAAGGAGCACAAGTTGGGCCACCAGTAATTCTGTGTCACCAATTCTATCATTTTGGCTACTCCAAAGTGCCTGGCAAATTTAGAGTCATGTCTTGCTTGCAATACCTTTACCCTTTCCAGCATATTTGAAACATATAATAGGCCCCCCTGAACAAGAGCTCATCTTAATATTGGAATTTATAGTAATCAGAACGTTTTCTTGGCTTATTTTTTAGTAGACTTGTAAGTTGATCTATTACATCTATAGCCAGAGGGTCTAGTTGCATTTGATTATGGATTTTGTTTCTTAAGTTAGTATCAATTGGCATTATAAAGGTTGCATTTATGATGAAGTTTTCGGCTTTTAGAGGGCAGTATTCTGTTGACCTGCGATTTCATCACCTTCTTTGGGTTGGTACTCATGCCTTTGTGACAAGGCATTAGACTTCCCCTGTTCTCTACCAGACTGAAATATGATCACAAAATCATAGTTTAAAAGGAGCAGAAACCACCTGGCTTGTCGACAGTTGAGTGTTTTTGCAGTAGTAAAGTACTCTAAGTTCTTGTGATCACAATAGATAGTAATTTTATACTGTGTGCTTTCCAAATAATGATACCATTGCTTAAAAGCTGTTACTATAGCAAGTAGCTCCTTATCATATACATTATAATTTACTTCTGCTAATGTAAATTTTTATGAATAATATTCAATAGGGTGGAAGCCTTTTTTGCTGTGTTGTGAAAGTACTGCTTTGAGGGCATAGTTTGATGCATCTGTTTCCAAATAATAAGGTTTCGTCAGGTCTGCTTGAGTCAGAATTGGAGCTGTCATAAAGGCTTGTTTTAAGAAGTTGAAAGCTTTTTGTATAGCGTCAGACCAGTAAAAGCAGTTGGTGATTTTATTTTAGATTTTCGAGTCAGGTTTGTTAAGTAGGTGACCAAGTAAGCGTATCCTTTGATAAAATGTCAGTAGTAGTTGGCGAAACCTAGAAATCTTTGTACCTCCTTAACCAAGGTTGGTACAGGCCATGAGAGAAGACTCTCAACCTTAGTTAGATCCATTTGGATCCCTTCTGGTGTAATACAATAGCCCAGAAAGTCTATATTTTCTCTGTCAAATTCACATTTTTCTATTTTTGCATATAGGCCATGTTGACGTAGACCTTCCAGTACCAACCATGCATGTTGGGCATATTCTTTTGGGTTGGAGGAGTATATTAAGACATCATCCAAATAGATGATTACAAACTGATCCAAGAAGTCCTGAAAGACATTATTCATTAGATGTTGAAACACAGCTGAGGCATTTGTAAGCCCAAAAGGCATCACCAAGTACTTGAAATAACTATACTGAGTACGGAATGCTGTTTTCCATTCATCCCCTAGCCTAATACGCACTAAATTGTAAGCTCTTCTCAGGTCAATTTTAGTGAAGACTCAAGCATCAGCGAGTCTGTTAAGTAGTTCAGATATTAGGGGGAGTGAGTAATGATTCTTGATAGTGACTTGGTTTAGGCCTCGATAATCAACACACATGCATAAGGTTCTATTCTTTTTTTTAACAAAAAGTATGGGTGTGCCAGCTAGGGACTTGAAGTGCCAGATAAATCCTTTTTCCAGGTTTTCTTCAATATATTTTCGCAAAACCTCAAGCTCTTTGGTGGTTAGTCCATAGATAGGACCCCACAGTGGTTGCTTATCTGGCAGCAGGTCTATGGTGCAGTCATGGGGCCAAGATTCAGGTAATTTATTAGCTTCTTTTTTATTAAAAATGTCACTGTAATCTTGATATTTTTCTGAAATTACATGTATTTCAGTGGGGTAGGAACTGGATGCTAGAGCTGTGAAAACTTGAACTACATATGTTTGAGCTTGGTGAGGATTTGAGGTCAGTATGTTTAGGCATTGGGCCTTGCAACTAGGATCAGAAAAGGTGATGAGGCGGTTGCACCAGTTAATTGTGGGATTATGTAGGGCTAACCATGTTAAGCCTAAAATCATTTGGTAATGAGGGAATTGAATAAGATTGAACGACAGTTTCTCACAGTGGCTTTAGGCACTCAAGAGTAATGGACCCATCTCATGCATAACGTTTCCAGAGAAAATTTCTCTGCTATCAATAACTTTAACTGTTAAGGACGTTTTTTTTACTTGGAAAGGTATGTTGTGTTGCTTGGCAAATGCTATATCTAAAAAACAAGCAGACACCCCTGAATCAATCAAGGCTGCAAGGTTTACTTTGGACCCATCAGATAAATGTAAGCTTAGTCCAATAGTAAGAGCGTTTGTAGGGAACCTGGTTGATGGCCTTCTAGGGGTTGAATTGACATCTTGTTTCAGCCGAAGCCCCCTTACTGTGGCTGGGGCTGCTCTTTTCCCAAAATCTCATTGGGAACTATAATTGCACCAATTTTGGGTCATGGGTTGCTTTTGTTAGGACAACCCTTAGCTATGTAGCCTTGCTCACCACAGTACAAGCAAAGTCTATTTGCATGTCGCTGATTTTTTTCTTCATCCAATAGTGGTTTGTACCTTAGGGTATCTATTTGCATGGGTTCAGTTAAGGGGTTCATATAGTTACTAGGGCTTGGTTTAAACCTTTTCCCCAGGTTGGGTCCCTTGAACATTTCTGCCTTTGTTCGAATAGCCTGTTATCGCATCATACAGCCTTTAATATTGCATCATAAAATGATGTAGGGTCCTCTAGAGTAAGTAACAGTCCTTAACCTTGTTTTTTAAGCCAGTTCGGAACTGGTCAATCATAGCAGCTTCACCCCAGTTCAAGTCGCTCACAATTTGTCTGAACTCTGATGCATAGCTCGATGCTGGCCTTGTCCCTTGGGTAAGTTTTCATATCTTATTAGTGGCTGTTCTAGACTTATCTACATTACCGAATGTTGCCTTGAACTCCTTTATTAAAGCTTCAAAATCTTCTAGCAGTTCTGATCATTTTTCCAACAAAGAGGCAAACCAAGCTAGGGCTGATCCTGTGAGTAAGCTTCTCAGAAGCCCAACTTGTGTTCGATCATCATGGTAATAATTGGGTTGCATTTGCATAATAAGATGAACTTGGCTCAAGAATCCTCTAAATTTATTCTGTATAGCATCAAACTTGTCCAAGAGACTCACTTTTGGTTCTTTGTACTGGATATCTGATTCTCTTTGGGCTTGAAGTCAATTGAGTTCATTGTGAACATCCTCATTATCTTGGTATAAGGCCTGATTCTCAAGCTGGATTCATTGTAATATGATAAGTATCTTGTTAAGTTGTTCTTTCATAATGAGTTTAACTAATATTAAATAACACTATAAGTGACTAAAAAAAATTTTTTTTTTTTGATGATGGTACTAATAAATGAAAATGTTTAAGTAGGGTTCAAATTGTTTATATTAAATGTGCTGAGATAGGTAGTAATATGTTGTTGTATAGAACTAGTTAACCAGTCTAAAGTTAAAAGTTAGTTTGCTCAAACTGTAATGGCTGAACTAGGATGGGCAAGGATTTTTAGGAGCAAATATTATTTTTTATTGAGCAAACTGATTTTTTACATAGAGGTTAGTAACATTTATATATACTTTGGAATTTTCTCTATTACTAATATGATCACTAACTTATCCTACAAATTGTACTAATTAATGACTTCATAAATTATGCATTAACGAATTGACTAAAAATTATTACAGATTGACTACAAATTACTATCATTGATGACTTCATAATTTATGTGCCAGGCATCAGATTGGAATTGGTAGATCACAGGTACTGACCCGATCTTAGTTGCAGGAGATCGTAGTAGTAGGAAATTGTAGTATAGTTGCAGAGTGGATCGTAGTAGCAGGAATTGTAGTATAGTTGCAGGGGAAATCATAGTGGTGGGAAATCATAGTATAGTTGTAGGGATCATAGTATAATTCTGGGAGATCGTGGTACTGATTTGCAGGTTTGTTACACCTTTAGACCTATCACATTTCTTAAAGGTCAGAGTTATCATTCTGCAAAGATCTTTGAATGATATGTAGCCCCTGTATGTCACTGAACTGTGAGATAACTCATGCTTTATTAAGTTCATCATATGACATTATGGGTTCCTAGTTCTATGGTATAGGACCTACAATCTTCTTCAGTCTACAATTTCCTAACTTTACATGATCCACCAGTGGATCATCTGTAAATTTCAATATTCTTAATTCTATATATTCTTAAATCAGGCTTTCTTAATGTTAATGTTATTTGTTAATGGATTACATCTTATCTGGTTGTTCCTAACCATGTAGCTATGCTAGTTACTGCATTCTTCTTAATATGAATCTTGTTCTTGTTTTTTTTTTAAATAGAAATCCTCTGCAGATCTTTTCCAATCATGATCCTAGCAGAGTTTTAGTCACCCTCTGAACTCAAATTTGTAACCTTGTAATTGAGACTCAGAAGTATTAACCACTGCACTATCGACCCATAGGTCTTCAGTAAGTTTTTAAATTATAGTGTTGACATTAAGAGTTTTGCACATTTTTGAGCATAACTTTTAATGTACTAAACCAAATTAAATGAAACAACTACTATTGGATTCAGCTTACTGAGATGATTCTAACAAACACAAGATTATGTGATTCTAATCACAGAATCACAAAATCAGAATGATTTTGATAAAAAGTACTAATTCTAATACATGTGACTTGATTCTGATTGGTTCAAATTATTGTGTCAGAAATCCTACATTTATTACAAATCTTATAGATCTTACAGATATTACAGATATTATATTTCTATTAGATCTATCATTTCTAACAGATCTATTATTTCTATTATATCTACTATATCTATTATATATATTATATC